GCATTATAATTTCCTATTTTTTTTGTACAAGATAAGCCTTTATAATTAATTCATTTTTTAATAAATCAAAGACTTTTAATGTAATTAAAATGAGTGGGATGAATATAAATTCATTTTTAAGATTAATATTTTAGCAAATATACCTATCAAAAAATAAAATTAATTCAAATTACTATGCTTTCACAATTCTTAGTAACGCTTAATGGTTTTTTTTTAAATTAAATCAGAAATGAAATGTATATTATTGAAATTTTGAAACATTTTGTATTAATTCGATTTATAATGTATTAATAACGTTACGTAACAAATTGTGGAGGAAAATGTTAAAAAAAAAGTTATATGAGTGCAGTTATTTAAATGCTTGGAGATCGCAAGAAGATATGCATCAACAGAACACCAGAATGAACAAAACAGAAATGAAATAGTGTAAATTAGATATTCAAGTAATTCGTATCTAAATGATAATAACAATTAAAACGAGTAAATTGACAATTTAATTGAGTAATTAAAAGAAAATGAACGTTAATTATTCAATATTTTAAAATGCGAGAAGTCTGATCTGTTAAATGAAGTTCTCAACATTTTAACTTGGGAAAATGTGTGTGAGTAAAAATAGTATACATTTTTTACTCTCTTTCCTTTGTTCGCGTTTGGACTCATTCCTTATAATGAGGTATAATCAGTAGCGCACACAGGAATTTTTCAAGGGGGGGGGGGGTCGCGGGGTCGAAAGTTCACTATTCTTGTATCATGCTCCTTTTGATTTTGTCGATTTTAGGGAACAAAACACAGTAAGAAACTAATTATTGAATAAATAAAAAAAATTAGCATTAATTATAATAAAATTAATCATTAATAACAAATAATTAAATCTTACGTATTATATACTTAGAATTATAATCAATCGGAAAAAAACAAGGGCTTTGGAGGAAGGGGGTCCGGAACCCCAGGACCCCCCCCTTGTGTGCGCCACTGGGTATAATTAATACAAAAAGTGAAAAAATGAATTTTAAAAAATTAAGTTTGGATTAGAGAAAGGATTGTAAAGCATTTTAATGAACTAAGTGTAAAATAACTAAGTTGTTAAGGTATCCAACTACGTTCGGAACCGTGATTTTGCAAAAGCATGTAAATGGATAATATTTATGATATTTAGCGTCACTTAGATTAGACAATGTATATAAAATTGGATTAAGAATAGTATTACAATAAAAAATTATTTAAGTACACTATTTTGACAAAAAATTAACTTAGAATAACCTTTTTTTTCCAAATGTTCTCCTTTTGTAAAAAATGCTTCTATTGAATTAATATTTTGCCTGTATTCAGCTCAGACCTCTGTACAGAGGTTCAACTAGAATTTTTGAAACGCATAACTTGGAAGTCGGTTTATCCATGTTTTACGAAAACAGAAGGGAGAAATTTTAAGAAAATACGCCGATAATTATTTCAAATGGTTGTAACTCTGAAAATAATGTGAATTTTTCAAAAATCATAGTTGAGATATACAGGCAAAATATTAATACAATAGAAGCATTTTTTATAAAAGGAGAACATTTTGAAAAAAGATTATTCTAAGTTAATTTTTTGCCAAAATATTGTATTTAAATAAATTTTTTTTGTCATAATGTCCTTAAAACAATTTTATACATGTATTCTAATCTAAGTGACACTAAATATCATGAAAATTATACATTTATGCGCATTTTTAAAATCACGGTTCCGAACGTAGTTGGATACCTTAAGTTCAGTGATTCTAAAAATGTATCTCAGTAACTCATGCTTATAAAAGTTTATCTCAATACGTAATTGTGCTAAAATGAAATTCTTTCATATCTTAAAACATTAGCAACGCATGCGTGCATTTGACCAAACAATTAAGTAATTACTGAACAAGGAAGATAGAATATTTAAAATTATCATGACCAGTAGGAATGGCTAATCGAGATGAAAGTTTAGTCAATTTATCAGAATGTTACACAGCATTGACTTCTACAAACATTTTCTTATAAATGAACATAAGGAATTCTAAATGCTGCTCGCAGTGGCGATTCGTTGAAATTTTAATTATTATTGGATCAAATAAAAGAGTGAATGTGTGTGTGTAGATGTAGAGGTGAGATTATTGATTTAGATAACTTAATGAATTAAAGGATAGGAAGAGGGAAATGAAATTAAAAAAGAAAAGCCGGAAACAATTAAGAAGTTAATTTGATTTGTGCTTAAAGCTTCATTGAATATTATAACAAATTATTAGATTTGCTATAATTTCTCATTAGTTATGCATATGAATAATTGCTATCGAGTCTTTAATTACCGTAAAATCCGGCGTATAACGCGCACTTTTAACACCAAAAATAAGATCGAAATTTAAGGGTGTGCGTTATACGCCTGGTTATCAAAATGAAAACTTTAAAAATAAAAAACAAAGACGAGCATATGAAAAATTAGAATTCTATATGTATCGAGATATTGTTTATTTAAAAGAAATGACATTCCTTATGTATTTAAAAGATTTGTAGTTCTATAAGTATACTATTTTTTCCAAAGGCTGGAAGTATATCTTGAATAAATGAATTCAAAACATAATAGCATTACACACTCATATTTCATGTTTCTTCTTAAAAAAGGGGGTGCGCGTTATACGGCGAATAAACCCCAAAATTAAAAAATGAAAGTACAGGTACACGTTATACGTCGGTGCGGGTTATACGCCGGATTTTACGGTAATAAATTTTGAAGTCAAGTATCTACGACAAAATTGAAATTTCTACTATTTTAACACCATTATTACGAATTAAAATTCATTAGGAGACTTTTTCGCCTACAAAAAAATTGAAAATCATTTAGTTGAATAATTCTCATGCTGTGATATACGTGCACATTGGGATAAAAACAGTTGTTTTAAAGGGCATGTTAGCAGCTCAGAGAAGACCTAACATTAATATTCTGAGAAATCTGTGGGTATAATATATGAATATCCTATCCTGGGAGTACATTCAATCTTTACCATGATAAGAAGAACATGATTTAGGAAAATACGATGGAAAAATGTTAGAGAAGCAGTGTTTTAGAAAAATTCAGTAAAAAACTCCCCTATTTTATATGTTTATTATTTTTATTAAAGTCTTGGACAGATGTGGGGTCTTTATGTCGTAGTATGGAAAGCTGTTAAATGATGTACCATTTCAGATGTCGTCTGAGATTTATACATTTTGTGACGGGCTCTATCCGCGCCTGTGACTAATCCTCTGGGGAAAAATATTTTTTCTTAACTGTTGTATATATATAAAATTGCTTCCCGTTGTAAAATCGTGATTTATGTTTTTATTTAGTGGTATTTAGCGAAATGAGTGCATGAGTTAGTCGTTAGGCTGCTATTAAAGTTAGATTAGCAAAGTTACTATCTTAAGTCCTTGGAGTTCTTTAACAGAATATTCAGTCTGGGACATGTAGTTTTCCAAACGAAACCTGTTTAGTGCAGTTATATCGAATAGCAGGCAAATAAGTTGTGACGGGCTCATCGCGATTTCTACTAAAACTCCTTTTGGGTTTCTTTGGGTCCAGAATGGCAATTCTTTCCAAGCAACTCGAGAAGAGAAGCGTGATATTCAAATTAAGAATCTTATCAATAGCAGAAGTTTAGCGTACGTGGGGTGGCTATGGGAAGTGAATATACAAGGTCTATGTGTACAAATGTTTAAGCTTAAGTGAGAGGAAATCCCGCATTCTAGATTTAATATATCCTTGCCAGTGTGTTCAAATTAAAGGTGGATACCATTTTACAAGGGTAACCGCCACGTCAATTAGGATTCAAGCGAATTGGTGCTTACCCAAGATAGAGCGGTAAGAGACCATTTAATTAAACTAGGACTAGTCGGTAAAGTTAGACATAGTGGTCAGTTACGCGATTATTTGGTAATAGGTATTGTGTTTCTCACCCCAGATTCACTTGGTTTGAATATTAATACTGTATATTGTTTAAGTTAAGATCTTAATAAAGAGATATTAAGATTATGGCAACGTCAGGTTCTTCATTCACTCCCACATCTCTAGGTCGCGAGGATAATGTAGAAGTAGGGCAACCGCCCCGGGCCCCGTGCACTTGCCTTACAAAGTGACATAATTATTTAACGTAGAAATTTAGGAGAGTGATTAAATTGGCTGCTCCCTCGATTTATACTATTTCTTGATAGTAAATTGAAAGATTAATAAATATATTGTTTTTATAATAATGGCTGATTATTCGGTGTCCCAAACTTCACCAGCGACCACAGGGTTGCCAAAACTATTCAAAATTCTCAGAGTTTTTGGCACTATTCCTTTTAGGTGCTCTTCTGAGAGCGGGATGTGGAAGCTAAAAAAGGGGGATGCCATCTCAGGTGTCACTCTCGTCACTTAACTAGGATTCAAAATTCTGAGCTCCGTCACTATTAACCCTTGTGTTGCTTTAAAGTGTGACGTAAATTAAAATCAAATCAAACAACATAAGCAAGCAAGTCAAATCTATTTAGAAAATTCTATTCGGGATTTTCTCAATTTTATATCTTCATATATTTTTTTCCCCCTGATATTTTTTCTTTGGCCTCTTTGTTCTGATTTTTCGTGATTTCTAAAATGAATTTTTGTGAGAAATTATTGTAAAAATAAATGTAAAATATTGTCATATAAATCAAACTTTCTGAAAAAAAAATGAATTGGTTTCGTATTATATATTTTAATAATATTTGAAGTGGTTAATACAAAATATCTATGAAAACAAGTAATACATATAAAAAAATTAATGTCAATCCTACTTAGGTCAACAAAGAAAAATTTTATATTTTAGTAACTCTTTTTACTAAGTAATTACAATTAATATAAATATGTATATACATATGACAGAATCCCAATATTAAGTGGCAAAATAGAAAGCGATTTTTCTTTCTTTATATGGTGTTGAACTGTTATTTTTGTTTGTTACTATTTATTCATTCATAAATCACATTGTCATAAATTATGGCATCCAGGTAGGATTCGAATCCATGACTTTTGGATTAAAAGTCCAACACGCTACCCATAGCGTTATAACTCTTTATCTACCACATTATGATTTACTGCAGTCTTTTTAATGCAATATATATATATATTTTTAATCACTACATTGAAAATTAAGGGATATATATAAACAAAATACTCAATTTTAGAAAATTTAATCCGAGCTAATTAATTAGTTAAAGATATTCAACTGTAAAATTAATTATATACAATGTTCACTTAAAATAAATAGTCAAATCGTTTTCTAAGGTCTTCATTAACATACAAAAAAAAAAAAAAATTAAAAAAAGTAAGGCACTTACCTTTTAACATTAACTATTTTTTCGGAACAAAAATGACAGTCTTCGCAATCCACTGAAAATGCCGTCGGCTGAAAACACAGTTTCTGCTATAAAACTATTCGCCTTCCCCACTAAAATACTCACCATAAATCCCTGCTACCATATATCTTGGAAGAGAAGATTTAAAAGAATATAAGTGTAAATAAGTATCGTTAGAGTATTCGAAAAAATGGTTATTCTATGTAATTTTAAAATGAGTGGTACTTATAAGTACCGTTGGTATATAAAGGGTTAAGCGACACAATGAACGGCTTTCCTTTTTATATATGGTGTTTGACTAATATTTTTGTTTGTTACTATCAATTAATTACTTAATATTTGAAAAAACTGTATCAACATCTTGTGACATCCACTACAAGTTTTAAAAAATGTATTTTGAGTGGATGAATAAAAAGTATTTTATTAACGATTGAAAATTTGAACAAGATAGATATACAGTCGAACCTCTATATTGCGAATTTTTCTATATAGCGAACTTTTTCCTGGAACCTTGAACATTTCACGATTTTCTTCGTAAAATAACTTCTCTTTAACGAAGTGCATTTTCTATATAACGAAATTTTTCGTTTGTGATTCAATTTTTGTTCTCCCTTTTTTAAAATTTTTTTAAAAAATGTCAAGTTATTCTCTCTTTAATATATTTTATGGTGGTCATGAACTGGTTTCATTAGATCCTAATTCTCCAATAGTAATAGAGTTCTGGGCGTTTCATCTAAGAAGTGCATCCTTTAACCCCCATTGCTTAGTTCACAAGAAACATTTTCGATATCCTCTTTCACCCTCAGTGGAGTTGTCCGGTATCCCCGTGTTCTAACTATAAAATAACGTCCGTGTTCTAACTATAAAATAATGTATGTTTAATATTACTTGTGTGCTTTTTAAATTATAAAATGTCCTTAAAATTCATTAATTTTAGTAAAAAATTATTTTCTTCATATTGAAAATACAGTGAATTCTTCGACATTCTTTTTTCTTGTTTTCCTTGCAGTTTTTCTTTCTTTCTTTTTTGATGGATAAGATATGTAAAATAAACATATATTAATTTTTAAAAAATGCGAATAATTACCTTTTTTAATATATACTGTTTATGAATTTAAAATTTTTTTTATGGGGTTTATAAAGTATATTTAAAGATGAACCTCTATATAACGCATTTTCCATATAACGAACTTTTTCCGGGATTTAGCGACTTCGTTATATATATATAGAGAGAGAGAGCGAAATAATAGTAAGAATTAAAAAAGCAATAGTAAAAAAATGTCCCAGTCAAAATTTTGCAAAGAACAGTTGGAATAGAGGTTAGCTGTTACAATTTATTGGTAAGTAAAACAATTGCTCCAAGGCAGCTGTAAAAAGATTTCCTGACGATGAACTACTTTTAAAGCTTATCTTTTTCTTTCTTGCTTCTTTTAACCGTTTAATTAAATATCCGCAAACAATCGATGATTGAATGATAAAACGAAAAGTAATCCGCTTTATATCGGTAGAGTTATGCATGAGAGAATTCAAACTGCACTTGTGAAGTGAAAATTAGGTATTATTGCAATAGACTATCGCAAAGTATCAATATCGAGCTTCATCAAGATTTCAATATATCATTAAGCATAAGTGTTAAAAAATTAAATTACTTCGTATTATGATCAATCTTTCATTGTAGGCATGAAATATATATACACTAAAAAATTATTTTTAAAAAAATCTCAATTTTTATCTGATTTGAGGTAGAATAAGTAAGCGATATATTTTTTCTATTTCTTAAATTCCTGTAATGATGCGTGACCATTTTAAATTCTATAAGAATACATGAGGTTTAACTTGATCAAGTTTGATAAAGATATAATTCACGGCATATTTTATTACTGTTTCCTAACGTTATAATTTATTAGTATTTAAATGCAAATATATAAATGTAATTTATAAATTTTTCCTTAGGGTTTAGATCGCAGTTATTTAAAGATAGAGAAATTTAAAATTCAGGATCGAATTTATTTAATAGTTTTGTTTCTTAGTAATTTGCTTGTAAATGCACTCACTGATTGTAAAAGTTAAGGAACAAAAACATATTTAAATGGATTTTTTTATAAAAAAAAACTAATGGAACCAATTCAAGTAAAATGTGGTATCAAAATCCTCAAACGTATTACTTAAAAGATTATGATAAAAAAAATTAAGTATACTCACACATACTCATACTCGTATACTCAGGAAAGTATGATAGTTCAATTTTTGACCCTCCCCAGTGCTTAAGGGTCAAATATTAGCTTTTTCCATTCAGGAACCCGAAATTCCAGGAAATCGTAAATTTTTAATATTTTTTGTTTTGTGTTTGTAATATTATTAAGGCGATATGGTACCCTAAAAATCATCAAACTATCGATTTTTTTTTATTGGCTTATATGATGCTTTTAATCCTTCTTAATGTGTCTGCAAAATTTCAGAGTTGTATCTATATTTTTTATTCAGTTATTTATCCATTTTTGTTGCATGTCAGTAGACTAAACAAAGCTGCCACGCCCACTTTTCAGATCGTCTGCTAGAAAAGAGCCTGATAAATAAGGAACTAATTTTTTTTTACTCCACGCTGATTAGTGTTTAAACTGAAATGAAATAATTGTTTTGTTTTGATTATGTGAGAGTTTTCTTTGAAGTTCTGTGTTCCTACAAATTTAACTATATTTTTGTACTCTGTGTTCTGAAGAGTAAGAAAAGTTGCTTTACGACAAGGAATTTGGTGATTTCTCCAAAAAGTTTAAAAGTCAACATGCCTAGGCCTAAAAAACGTACTAAATCTGCCACTACGAAAGCTTTGAAGAGGTGGTTTTCAGATGCTATAAGACAAGTTCAGAAGTTTCTCAAAACACTAACTTTTGAGGTGTGCAAAACTTGAAGAAGAATGCAATACTTTTTCTCGTTTGGATGAAAAATATACTGGTATATCCAGATCTCCAACATACGTCATTATTGATAAAAATGCATTAACAAATCTTTTTAAAAATACTCTATGTAATACTTGCAAAAATGCTTCTTTGCGAGTAAATTTTGGAAGAGCCTATGGATTTTGTAAATATATTAAGGCTTTTAAAATTATGGAAAAAAAGAGTATGAATATTTGTGTACATGTTGTTTATTATGGTAGTATAGAACTGTGCATGAAATAAACTCTAAAATGTGTGTGTAATTTTTTTAAAAATTGTTAAGATAATGTTTTATGAAATATTGACCTTTTTGTTCATATATTCATTATACAAGTATATTCTTTTATTCTTGTAAATTTTTAAAATATTTGTGGTAAGCAGTTTGAAACAAACTAATTAACATTACATAAAAGTTTCAGATTATTGGAGGAATTTTTTATCATGCTATTTAAGAAATGAAAATTTGAAACTTTTTATACATGTTCTGAAATGTATGTTTTGTAAAACTGTGCATTGAATTAGCTCTAACATGTTTAGTACTTTTTCTAAAAAATTTCAAAATCAAAATTAATGTTTTTTCGAGAATTTTTGTAAGTTTAACTATAAAAAAATGAATAAAAAATTAAAGAGCAGTAGCAGAAAAAAACCCATGCACAGTTTTATGTAGTATATTATAAGGTACTTGGAAAAAAATTTTTGAAAGAAAAGAAACATATTTAAAAAAGCCTTAGGGGTTTAAAAAATGTTTAAAAAAATTTAAAAACTTTAAATTTTACAAACATTTTGCAACAAATTAAATTTTTTTTGTATGGAATTATTATTAAATATTAACCTTTATAAAATACAATTAAAACCAAATATCAAATATTAAAAATAAAAAAAAATTTAAAGATGGTACCATATCGCCTTAACTCTAATAAACAAATAAAATTCTGAAGTTACATTTTAATAGTCTTATAACTTTCATCTACTTATTTATCTATTTTTTAAAACATTCTGTTATGCATATGTTTCAGTACATATTTAAATGCTTCTCAAAACTTGATTACAAAATAATGAGAATTATATTTTACTAATAAAAAATCTCTCTCTTTGAATTACTCTTTGGAACAAACTTATGTAAAATCAAACACTGTGGTTCATAAAAACAGTGGCTAATAAGAAAATATGTACATAAAAGGAACAAAAATACTAGAAAAGAATTTTAGAATTTTTTTAAAATTAAATTTTACAAAATTTTATAGCTATATATATTATTAATGATATAAATTTTTAAGGACATTTTGTGCATACTATATCACATTTAAAATAAGAATGCCTTATATATCTTCAAGATTCAAGAATGAAATATTAGATGTTTGAAACGGCTTATATATATATCTAGATTAATCCCTTTTAAATTACGCTTACAAAAAATATTGGTCTAATTATCCTAGATAAAAGTTATCTTAATAGCCTAGTTAATATGATTATGAGTATGATTGATTAGTTAAAGAGAATCGTTATCATTTATTCGAATCAAATCTTAGATATATCATGTTTGACTTCATATAATGTATTTACGTACATACTAATTCTTTCTGTCATTACATTAATTACACTAATTTCATTTCATCAAATTAGTATTTACAATACAGAAATGAATTTCATTCTTCATACATTAAGCCGAGTAGTGATTTTTTATTTATTCTCTGATTTTTTATACGCTCTATTATTGTGTTTTTTTTTAATTTTAGCATTTCACACATCACCGTGAATTTTTTCTATTGTTCAAAATG